CCCTGATATGGACGATATGTGTCCTTGTGAAACCAGTTTGTGCAATTGAAGTAACATTTTTTATTCACGAACAAGCTATGCAAAAGTTTCTTAAGAGAGGTGAAAAAAGGGGGAGGGAGTAGGAGGGGGAGCATAGTCCCTTCGAAGTGCCTTGAAAGGAATGACTAATCGGCCTCGGTTTCCTCCTCGTCACTTTCGTTTGGGTCAGGACCTTCTAGTATACGGCGTAATAGTTCATCCTTAGACGTCGAGTAGTCCGTATCACCAGAACTGACAGAAGAATCAGAGTCATTACCGCGTCCCTCTTCGTTATCACTGGAATCCGAACTTGGCACTGCAATGTCCTCTTATCATCCTCGAAGCCTGTGATGAGGGATAATGACATGAGGATGGACTGACCTTTGACTGGAACCGGCTCCCTTTTCAAGTCTTCAATAATTTGGCGATAAATTTCGTCCTCGCATTGTTTCTCGTGGAAAGGGATTTCTACTTCGGGCAGGAAATGACGAGAGTTCACCTTACATCTGAAATGGAGATGAGTTGGTGGAGCTTTTAAAATCCTCAACTTGAAGGTTTTTTACCCAAATCAAGGGAAGCTTCACCGAGTAGTGTAACCGATCTTTGAGAAACTCCTCGTAGTAGGATTTCTACTTATATAGTTTAACTTACCGCTCACCTTATTAGTCGCAGATTTGGCCCATTCTGTCGGCAGTATCTCAGTCGACATTCACGAAGATGATCATGAAATAGCTCTGGTTCAACGCGATGGTTAAGGTTGTACGGACAGATGACAACCCTTCCTTCGAGCGGATTAGACGGTTCAGCCATGAGGATTACACGAGCGCAAATGAAGCTTATCACACGATATCGCTTACATATCAGCAGAACCTGTCATTACGGGTGATAACGAGTACGATCATGGTGGTACCTGTCTGTACTGGATTTGTTTATTCAGTCGTATTGAGCCCTTTGGTGACCTTCCAAGCCTCTGACATTGATAGTTTGTCCCTGTTTTTCCAAGCATAATGGAGGTAGCCTGTTCAGGGGTTCATAAAGAGCGTAGGGTTCTTACACGGTCCAGATGTGCCACTTGAATAGTGCCTGGGTGATATCTGGAGTCAAATCCCGCCCTGGCCGGCCAAATCTTTCGTCTCTTGCTTGGGAAATGTTGAAGTCGCGGCCAAGACTCACAGAAAGTGCTTGTTGGTTCTCCTTTCGTCTCTCCGGGGACGGTAAACTCTGACCCCAGAGTCGTTCGGGGGAGGAAAAAAAGACTGCCTAGTAAGTCTGACGGCCTGCTACCGGACCGTATAGGAGCGGAGGAAGCCTGTTTAGAAGAATGGCTTTTGCTAAGAGCCTCATCCTTCATTCACACGTAGTGCAGGTGTATTTCTTGCAGTTCATTAGTATGTCTTGCTGTGAATATTACTGCTGTCAAATTGTTAGTGTGTGTTGCTGTAAGCAAGACTACTAGCAAGTGATAGCAGTGGTTATGCCGTCTTGTCTTCGCAAACCTCGCTGACAGACACTTTCTTCTCCTTTGGATATTTTTCTCTTCTGGATATTCTTGGCAAGGTTAAACAGGCCAAGCAAAGATGGGTTACGCCTCGCAGCAATTGTTGGAACGAGCTTAGTCACTTCCATGAAGTATTACAAGACTAGCAAGTAATTGAAGCCTCCTTGCTCTAAGGAAGGAAGTTGTCTTTTGGGCTTACCACGCGTGCTGAGGGTCAAATCCCATACCAGCTTCAGTCCAGCCTTCTACCCTCCAGGGACGTTCGACTGGTAGCAGCTCCGTCTGGGAAGATGCGACCATTGACTTGTCCATTCAGCTGCGCCCAGCCTAATTGTGTATGGGGACCACGCCGTATTCAGAGGCGCCTTTCTCGGTTCTGAATCAAAGTAGAACGCTTGTTGATTCCTAAAAAGGCAAAAACCTTATCCTTCATCTTTCTCTTGCCTGCACATGTACAGTATTTTGACCTCTTCTCTGAATGACCTATTATCTTTCTTGCTTATGCAGTCCATTATAGACCAGCGGACTTTTCTTCGACCATAAAAGACTAGGATTAGGCGGAGCGCTATCCGCCTAATCCTAGTCTTTAATGGTCAAAGAAAAGACGGCCTATCCTAGTCTGAGAGCTTTGAATACGAGCTTGGGGTAGATGAAGTACTTCACTCCTGGCTCTTTCTTCCTTTTTAAATCTTAGCAAGAACCGTCATCCGCTGAGCTCACAATAAGTTTTTCACATCTTCGGACTGTTCCACTCACTCCAGGTGTATAAGGGGGCTGAGATAGGGGGACGATCTCTAGGACCACGCGACGTCGCGTGCGCGGCGATTTTCAAATATCGCGGCTCGCAGTGGAGCCACGCTCGTGATGAACTCATTGCGTTATTTGATCAGATTGTTTCGCTTAGTTTTCAGCCAAGCTCTTCACTCTGTTAGGATCTGAATTGTCATGACCATTAGATTTCCGTACCTATATGCATAGCTAGAGTGACTACATAAATTATGGTGCAGAGAAACCTGCGCAGATCCTGCTTTCGGTTCAGTTTAGCTCATCAGGTGACCCCCTAATCATTTGACCGTCACAATTCTTTCCGGACAGCATACCGTCAGCGACCGCAACCCCACATGGTTCTATGGTCACATATGGTCGAGCTATGATAATTGTTGGACAGGAGCAAGCGGCAACAAAGTGAGACCACGTCCATTTGGAACCACGCCGAGACGACGGGAGAGGGTCAAGGCGTTCGCAGTCCGCCGCGCGGCACACCGTGCGGCAATGAGCGCCACGTTTTCTTAGTGGCTGTGAACTTTGATGGCAGCAGCGGAGTTCGTGTAAACTACCAAAACCAGCAGACAGGGTACGTCATCGTGATTTGTGACCCAGGGAAGGTCTCGGTACGACCTCTCCCTTCCCCAAAAATCTACCCACCTGCCAATTCCCACATTTTTCAGTTTTTACCCGAAAACGTTCAGTCGAGCGAGGGAGGCTATAGCCACTGTGAAGCGGGAAATTTTCTAGGTATTTCTCCTACTTCCTACCACCTTTCCCGAGATTTTCAAGGATTTCCCTACTTTATCTCCAAAAATTTTGCTGTCGAGCGGGCTGAGTCCTGCCCTACTGCCGTAGCACCGTATATTGCAGCTCTAGGGTGGGCGAAATGGATAGGTAATAATAATACGTATACTTTAGTTTGCTACGGGTGAAGGGTCGTGTCAAGCAGTACGAGTGCGCCACAGTGCCGAACCTATTGTGTGCCAGTTGTTTTTGCGGATATGCGACAACAGCT